GATTCTGTAGATGTAAACCTGCACACTGTCTTATTAATAAAATATAATTCTTCTAAAATCTTATACACTTTACAAATGGCTTAATTTAACCCTAAACTAAATTTGACTTTTTTTTTTAAATCGGAGAACTTTGATAAACTGAATTCTGATACATTAAAAGGCGGTAACTGGAAGGTTCTGGTACAAAAGGAATGATGTGAAAGAGGTAGCAGATTCAGAAGCACACATTATGTTCCTATCACAACAGCATCTAACTGATTATACCTCTGTGAGCCACGTAGTCTCATATTGCTTATTAGAAGAGATCTCTTATTCTGCAATGGAACTACCAGAAGCTGGATATTTGCCACTTCTGGAGAGGTATTGACAGGAGAAGAGTTTTTACTGACTTCTAATTGCAATTTTTATTATTTAAAGAACATTTACAATTGAGAATGCCCAGGCATTTTACAACAGCCTTTGGAATCCTTTAGGTGTTGTAACTATATCTACTGTACTTCCTTTAGCACACAGTCTACAGTAGACCAGCAGGCAGGTTAATGCCATCTTGCCACATTTCCTTCATAATGAATTTGTTTTTGCCCCTTCATTTTCATTGGTCAGGATCCTCCTGTATTCAGCTCAAGACCCATGAGCCACTCTGCCAAGACAGACAGATTGAGCTTGAGCTTGCATGCTCAAAATAGCTCTGTGGTCATTAAGACTCAGGCAGAAACTCCAATTAAACAGCTAGACTTCAGCTAGAGATTTCAACTAGACAGACCACCCAAACCGCTGGGCTTCAGCTCAAACAGCAAGCCTGGGTCTCCAGACCTGTCTACGTGCACTGGGAGACTTGCATCCAACAGCAGTGCGGTCATGCCCACTGTACAATTCAGGATACAAGGGATAACAGAAAATAAAAAGGGGATTGACCAGTAGTTCAGCTCTCAGTTTTTGTACAGTACAATGATACCATCATGCCTATCACGAGCTGCCATGTTGTGCCAGCATTGCAGTATTTGAAGTGCTTTAAACACACACATCCCAAATCTGCCATAAAGACCCCATTTCCACCACCTTCACTGATGACCTTAAAATAGTCCTAACCTTCCAGTAAATGCACGTTCACTATTTGTTCAGGACTTCACTTCTGATTTCAGTGGAGCTGCTCCCCATTTATATCGGTGGGGGCAAAGAGACAAACACACATCAGGCAACTTATTTTTGCTGGCTCCTTAGGTGGTGATTTAAGACAAAGTGTCACTGAACTTTGATTTTTTTCCTGATTATAACAAATATATTCCCAGACCGGGGAAGCAGTGGAGATTTTGGTCAAACACCAGTTTGCTGAGAAACACATTCACAATATATAACTGTTGTATTTCCAAAGCTGTCTGCTCATAATATTCAGAACACTTGAAGTGTGATGATGTCGGTCATGACTGTTTCATTAGGCATTTGGCAAAATACACGTGTGTTACAGCTGTTTTCACATTTTAAAATGTTTACATATGTACAATTTGTATAAGGAGATTATAAACATGAAAAGTAAAAAATATAGTTGTTTGTCTGAAGTATATGCCTCTCAAAACTTAGACCCTGTAGCAAAATCCTACATTTCTTACTCCTGCATGCTAATTTCTACTACAGAATGTTGTTTACTCCTTACTTGTGGAAAGTAAAGAACAGAGGGTTCATGCACATAGCATAATGTTTACATTGCTCATTTACTTCAGAATAAAAAATTCTGAACTCAATGTAGTTGTTATTTTGGACTGCATTAAATCAAAGAAATACCTCTTTTATTTGGGACTTGTACATGAGTTTTAGTTGTATTTCTACATATATCGGTCATCATGCAGAATAATTTGATCATATTCAGTCTGTTAATTTTTGTGATTTTTGGTTATTCTTTACAGATTTAATAGTATTCTAATCAACAGCAAAACATGTTGTTTTTCCCTTGGGTCTGAGAGCTGGTTCTCTCTGTGATCACTGGCATCTCTGTTGTTCTTTCAAATTGTCTGAAGAGTTAGGTGAATGTGCAATGACGCAGTGATGCTGAGTTTCTATAAAATTTGAAGTAAACAGTTCTGATGTCACCCGGCTAAACAGTAGAATTAAATGGAAGTTTCCCATAGCTGCAAGGGGGGAAGGAATACATGTACACATTACCAAAGTTTTACAATATAGCTATTAACTAAATAATATTACAGTTTTATTCAGGAGGAAAGTCTGTTTTGTTTAGGTCACATGAGGTATATTCTTTGGTTTCATACTAGTCTCTAGTGGACACCTATTCATATTGCAATGTCATCATACAATTAGGAACATTTCAACAGCACCCTGCATAATAAAAGCCTAGTACTGGGAGAACAGACAGTTTGAAAAAACAATGTCAACTTAAACTATCAAGCTTATGTCAAAATGCTTTTACCCACAATTGTTATAATTAACATTAAGGCTACCATTGCTAATATGAGAGAAAAAGCAACATTTCCCTCTCTGTTTTGCCAGCACAGATTTTCCTTACTTTCTTTAATTTATGCCAGGGGACTGCACTGGTTACCAGGCAGTCCCAGATTGGGGAATATAAACGTTCCTTAAATACCTCTGCACCCCTCTGCCTGTGCTGTGCCGAACCAAGGCCTCTGACTACAACTCTGTGCCTTTAAATACTGAAGCACAGAACTCACACCACAGTTGATGGGGACATGAAGGTGGCATTAGCCCTGCCATTTATAGTCTGCTCCAGGAGTTGGAGCAGATCCCTGGTGTAATTTAGACAGCTCTGGGGCCTTCCTTCAGCAACCTGTCCCCACCTATATATGAGCAGCAACACAGAGTATCCACAGTGCTACATGTTGTAGCCCTACCCCAGCATACCCCTCCTGTTCCCAGGATGCCCCATGTGCCAGGGCTTGCAAGGGAGTCCTTACAGGGCAGCCGGTGGCTATGCTCAGTTTCGCAGCAGAGCAATTTTAACACTGGACTGAAGGTTTTTATGGCCCCTTTATGCTGCTCTGGACCTTATTTTTTTTCCACTATGACAGGAGCAGCACAGAGTGGGAATTTCATTCGGCATCTGCTCATAAATGGAGGTAAGTGTATAACACCAGAAGTACTTTCTGAAAACGTTGATGGGCTAGATTCTTGACCCACCGCTGGTCAGCACAAAGAAAGCTTGAAAGTGCCTTTAGGAACCAGCTGAGAAATAATCTAGTTATCAGAATCAACAATGAGCATTCCTCAAGTGCTCCTGGCACCTCTAAGTGTATGGGGTGAACTGTGAGCGAGTCAGTTATTCTCCAGAAATCCTGGCCAGAAATGGCTTTTTAGGATTTATTATGTGCCAGCACAAGTTAAAGAATCCTTGTGCTACAAGTCACCTCAGCCCCCAGCAGTCTCCAGGCTTTTAGAAGAGGAAGACTGGCACCAGTGCACGCACTGCTCCACAGGTGATTCAGCTCCTGCACTGGCACAGAAGGGGATCTGTCTCTCTTTTCCTTTTAAATACTGACAGCAAAATTAGTCACTGTGTTTCTGGCAGGTCCTTTAAAACAAGCTGGGATCAGCCTTAAGAACATAACATATACTGAGTCAGACCAATAAGAACAGCCATACTGGGTCAGACCAAAGGTCCATCTAGCCCAGTATCCTGTCTGCCGAGAGTGGCCAATAGCAGATGCCCCCAAGGGAGGGATCACAACAGGTAATTCTCACGTGATCCCTCCCCTGCCACCCACTTCCAGACAAATAGAGGCCGGGGATACCATTCCTACCCATCCTGGCTAAGAGCTATTTATGGATCTAACCTCCATGAATCTATCTAGCTTGTTTTGGAACCCTGTTAAAGTTCTAGCTTTCACCGCATCCTCTGTTCCACAGGATGACTGTGCGCTGAACGATGCCCCATGTGCCAGGGCTTGCAAGGGAGTCCTTACAGGGCAACCCGTGGCTATGCTCAGTTTCGCAGCAGGGCAATTTTCACACTGGACTGAAGGTTTTTATGGCCCCTTTATGCTGCTCTGGACCTTATTTTGGTCCATCGAGCCCAGTATTCTTTCTTCTGACAGTGACCAGTGCCAGCTGCACTGGGGTATGAACAGAACAGGTAATCAGCTTCTGGCAAACAGAGGCTAGGGACATCATCCCTGGCTAAAACACTGATGGACCTATCCTCCATGAACTTTTTTGAACCATGGTATAGTCTTGGCCTTACCAACATCTTCTGGAAAAGAGTTCCACAGCTTGACTGTACATTGTTCCTTTTATTTGTTTTAAACCTATTACCCATTAATTTCATTTGGTGACCTCTAGTTCTTGTGTTATGAGAAAAGTAAATAGCACTTCTTTATCTACTTTTTCTACACCAGTCATGATTTTATAGACCTCAATCAGATCCCCCATTTGTTATCTCTTTTCTGTGCTGAAAATCCCAGTCTTATTAATCTGTCCTCATACAGAAGCCATTCCAAACCCCTCATCATTTTTTCTCACCCTTTTCTAAACTTTTTCCAATTCCAAGATAGATAGATAGATAGATATATATATATAGAGAGAGAGAGAGACGGGATCACCACATTTGCACTCAGTATTTAAGATGTGGGAATGCCATGGATTTATATAAAGACAATATGGTATTTTCTGTCTGATTATCTATCCCTTTCTTAATGATTCCCAACATTCTGTTCACTTTTTTTTTGACTGCTGCTGTACATTCAGTGGATTTTTTAAGAGAACTATCCACAATGACTCGAAGATCTCTTTTGAGAGTGGTAATAGCTGATTTAGATCCCATAGTTTATATGTATAGTTGGAATTATGTTTTCCAATATGCATTACTTAGAATTTATCAACATTTACATTTCATCTGCCATTGTGTTGCCTAGTCACCCAGTTTAGAGAGATCCTTTTGTAGCTCTTTGCAGTCTGCCTGGGACTTAACCATCTTGAGAAGTTTTGTATCATCTGCAAATTCTGCCACCTTATTGATTACCCCTTTTTCCTGATCTCATTAATGAATATGTTGGATAAGACTGGTCCCAGAATAGACTCTGGGGGAACACCACTATTTACCTCTCTCCATTGTGGAAAATGACCATTTATACCTACCATTTGTTTCCTATATTTTAACCAGTTACCATTCCATAAGAGGACCTTCCTTTTTATCCCATGACAGCTTGCTTTAAGAGCCTTTGGTGAGGGACTTTTTGGAAAGCTTTCTGGAAATCTAACTACACTATATCCATTGACTCCCCCTTGTCCACATGCTTGTTGATCCCCTCAAAGCAGTCTAGTAAATTAGTGAGGTATTATTTCCCTTTACAAAAAAACCCAAACATCTTGACTCTTCCTCCACAAATTCTGTTCTTGTATATATGTCTGATAGTTCTGTTCTTTACTATAGTTTCAGTTAGTTTTCCGGAATTAAGTCAGGCTTACTGGCCTGTATTTGCAGGAGCACCTCTGGAGCTCTTTTTAAATTTTGGCATCACATTAGATCTCTTTCATTCATTTGCTACGGAAGCTGATTTAATAGTTTATAATAGTTCTGCCAGAAGTGGGCAATAATCTTTGACCAGAGGCCACTTCAGAAATGTTTGAAGTGGCCCTGGCCCACCCTGGAAGGGATGGGGCCTCAGATGGAAAGGGTGGGGCCAGGATACTTCCCTGCTTCCCCACCCTCAGACTCTGATTGTTCTAGGGGTGGGGGAGCGCATGAAGTCTTTGACCCCGCCACCCCCAGAGAGAACTGCTAGCTGTTTTGAACAGCTGGTGGTTCCCTCTAGGCATCCGTGCCTGTCAGTGGGAGGAGACTTTGCATGCTTCCCTAGCCCCCACTCAGGGCCTTTGGGAGGGAGAACACGCAAAGTGTCTCACTCCCTGCCTCTGCCCTGCAAGGGAATGTCGTGCTTAGAATCAACTGAGCAGCAGCTGGTGGCTGACTTTAAGTGCCCAGCCCCATGAAGGGTGGGAGGAGACTTCTCACGCTCCCCTCACCCCCAAGCACTGATTGGCTTGGGGGAAGGGGGAGAGCACAAAATCTCCTCCAACCCTGCAAGGGGTGCAGTGCAGGTCTTGGTGCCCTATTACTGTTTAATTTCTCAGTTTGTCCCTAAACCCTCTCTAATAACATCTCAATCTGAGGCAGTTCCTCAGATTTATCACCTAAAAAGAATGGCTCGGGTTGGGGAATCTGCCTCACTTCCTCAGCTGTGAAGATCAGTGCAAAGAATTCATTTAGTTTCTACTCAATGACCTTATCATTCTTAAGCATTTCGATCATCCAGTGGTACCATTGATTGTATAGCAGGCTTCCAATTTCTGATGTTCTTAAATTTCTATTTCTTTTTGCAGCTTTATTCCATGCACCAAACCCCATGGCTTCCCCTATTGTACAAACATGAGGTACTGTCTAAGAAACATGGCCTAATAAACAAGGCATAAAAAAGTTTGCATTGCTTTTATGAGCTTCCCCTCAAAGCATCTAGTAGCCATAATCTTCTAGAGCAGTGGTTCTTAACCTTACTGCAGCCTGCACCCCTTTGGTTCTCAAAATATGTTCTTGCACCCTTTATTAAAAATCACTGAAGTAGGTCAGTTCTTTAAACCCAAGATATATCATAAAAATCTGGCATGTCTCGCACCCCCAGAAAGGGCTTCTCGCACCCCCATGGGGTGCATGCACCCCAAGTAAAGAACCACTGTTCTAGATGAATTTGGGAGTTGAAAAACTATAGGTGTTTTTATCTGTATGAAGAAATGGTGACATCCAGTGGCCACATGAGCTTTTACTTGCAATTCGCAGCTTGCAGGTATTTCAAAAGGCAGAGCTCGACCTGAATTGTAGAACAAAAATATAGGAGGTGAATGTGCGCACACATTACCCCTAGCTCCAAAGTGTACTTAGTATAAATTCACTTCCAGCTCTGAAATTTTTTGGATCAACTACTAGGTGATTTTTAATGCTTAGGAAAACACTTGTGCATACTACTAGCTCTCCAGATACGACAGGAATTCTACCTCAGAGCTCTCCCAATGTTCAGTGCTGAATTGAAGAACTCCCAGACATCAGTGTCTTCCACTGCCACCTTGCTCTGCCAATCCTTCTCAACTTGACCTGTGACCTCCCTTTATT